AATTATTTTGTTAGGAGCTGCTTGTTACAGTCAGTTTGGACGTCCTTAATTCTTTAGATTCAGCAAGGTGCTGGAAACATTCCTCAGAGACTCTGGTGATGATAGCGTCACACAGCTGCTGCAGATTTGCACATCTGTAATGCACATCCTCTGTGCTCTGTTGGACTGAGGTCTGGTGGCTGTGGAGATCATGTGAATACAGTAAACTCACTGTCTTATCCAACAAAAAAAAACAGTTTGAGGAAATCTGAGCTCTGTGCTTCATCTTCCTGCATTGTCATCAGACCAGGCAACATTTTTCCAGTTGTCCAGTTTTGATTGTAGTTTCCTGTTCTAAGCTCACAGGAGCACAGCCTGGTCTGCTCATCTGTTCAGGGTTCAACACAGTTTGCATTCAGTGTTGCTTTGGTTGTAACTGGTGCTTAATTGAGTTTTCTGTGCCTGCTGTCAGTTTGAAGCAGTCCTTATCCTCTGACTTCTGACATCATTGAGGCATTTTCTCCCAGAGAACTGCGCTCACTGACCACTGATTAGATGTTTGTGTCAACAAGCAGCTGGACCTGTGTACCTAACAAAGTGGCCAGTTAACCTTGTAGTTATACACATTTACCTTTACAAAGATATTTGTGGCGCTATAGCTTGTGAGGCCAGTTAAGAAACGTTCTGAAGTGTTGCTCATTAGAGGATTAATGGAGTAGACATTAAGAGGACGTCTGAGGGTTTGTCTGTCTGTCTTTTTACTTTATTTTGGATTTTGCAGGGGATGCTGATTGAAGGACCTCCAGGACCTGAGGGACCTGCTGTAAGTTAATATTATTTTTCTCCATCTTAAAAAATAAATCCTCACTTTCTGTCGACAAATATTTGAACTCTTAATTTTTGTCTGGCAGGGCCCCACTGGACCCCCTGGAACTTCTGGACCTCCTGGTTCTGTCGGTGACCCCGGAGAGAGGGTGAGTATTTCTCCTTTATCTGAAGGTTTGTAGGCATGCATCTGAATCTGTGTGTTACACATAGACATGTGTAACTTATACTGGCCGACTCACCGTTGCCCCTCTGATATCCTGCAGGGCACTCCTGGTAGGCCTGGTCTTCCTGGAGCTGATGGGGTTCCTGGACCTCCTGGAACTTCACTCATGCTGCCTGTAAGTCACCTTTAACCTTTCAGCCTTTACTGATTATGGAAACTATCAGAATAACTATAAATATGAGTCATATTTGGGCAAATGTTTTGTTTAAACCAGATCTGAATGTGTTTTAACTCTTTATTGTCAGCGTTGGTTTTTTATAAGCATCGAGATTTGGGTCTTTCAAAGTTGGATTATTTCGGGTTTTCCTCATTGAACACAGCTACAGTCTATAGGAATGCTCTCAGATGTTGAGTTGTTTGTTTATTCAAATGTTTATTCCTTGTTTTTTATATATATATGTTAGAGTAATTCCTGCGTCACTGTCACTGATCAGGTCTGAGTCTGAATGTTTGTTCTGTGTTTGCAGTTCCGCTTCGGGCA